AAATCCAGGTCTGAATACTTCCGCAAACTGATTATCCAAAACAAGAAAAAACCACAAGTTTTATTTGACACTATTAGCTCTATTGTGGCTCCTGCTGCGCCTCTTACACCTGTTTTCAACAAAGCAGATGCAAACAAATTCCTTAATTACTTTGTTGATAAAATTCAAAATATCAAAGACAAACTCCCATCTTTTCAGTCATGTAATGATGATATTGATGAACTCCCTGCGCACGCGTGGTCCTCTTTCTCACCTGTAACACAGGATGATATTTTAGCTTTGGTAACCACAATGAAGCCCTCTTTTTGCCTGGCTGATGTCTTACCTTGTAAACTCCTTTCAAAAGTATTTGATGCCATTGGTCCCTGGGTTACCAGAATGTTTAACCTGTCCCTTTCTTTTGGCGTTTTCCCTAGCTGTTTTAAACATGCTTTTGTGGAACCCCTACTCAAAAAATCTAATCTGGATCCAACAGATCCTAAAAATTTTAGACCGATATCAAAACTCCCTTTCCTGTCCAAAGTCTTAGAGAAAGTGGTATCTGAACAACTGGTTTCCTTCTTACAGGATCGCAATATCTTTGACAGGTTTCAGTCCGGTTTCCGTAAGCACCACTCTACGGAAACTGTGCTGCTTAAAGTGTCCAATGACATCTTGATGTCCGCAGACTGGGAAATGCACGGTCCTAGTTTTACTAGACCTTTCGTCCGCATTCGACACGGTTAACCATGAGATCTTGCTGAGTAGGCTCCGCGAGTTGGTTGGGTTGTCAGGTTCTGTCCTGGCGTGGTTTACGTCCTATTTATCCGGGAGAAGCCTAAGTGTCTCAGTCAACCAGATCCTGTCTGACCCAACTGATCTACGGTGTGGAGTACCCCAGGGCTCAGTTTTGGGCCCGGTTTTGTTCTTGTTGTACATCCTTCCTTTAGGAAACCTAATCCAGGAGTTTGCCGATGATGTTTCCTATCATCTCTTTGCTGATGATCTTCAGCTGTATTGTTCTTTCAAGCCTTCTGACGTTAAAAAATTGCATTCTCTATTATCTTGTTTTGAGCGAATCAAACAGTGGCTCGGTGCAAATGCCTTACGGCTGAACTCAGACAAAACTGAAGTACTGGTGATTGCCCCCGATAATGCTGTTCCAGGGATTCACCAGCAGTTAGGTGATCTGAGTTTGTCTGTAAAACCTACCCTTAGAAACCTTGGAGTTTTCTTTGACAAGGGAATGTCTCTTGAACATCACTCAAAGCAGTTAACTAGAAACTGTTTTTACCACTTGAGACAAATTTCTAAACTCAGAACAATGGTGTCTAAAGCTGATCTTGAGTTGATTATTCACGCGTTTACATCATCCCGTTTAGACTACTGTAATAGTTTATTTTCTTGTCTAAACAAAAAAGAGCTGTCCCGCTTACAACAAGTCCAGAATTGAGCAGCTAGAATTCTGACCCGTGACAACAGAAGGGCCCACATTACCCCCATTTTAAAAGCTCTTCATTGGCTTCCAATCACATTTCACATAAATTTTAAAATTCTTGTGCTGACTTTCAGAGCGCTGCATGGTCTGGCTCCATTGTACGTTCAAGACATGCTCTGCCCTTACACGCCTTCTCGCAGGCTGAGATCATTGGATCAAAACCTTTTAATGGTCCCACGTACTCAGTTCAGGACACGAGGAGATCGCTCATTCCAGGCCGTCGCTCCTAGGCTCTGGAATGAGCTACCTCTGTCTTTACGCTCAATCGACTCAGTTGATGTTTTTAAGAGCAATCTTAAAACCATTTGTTTCTCCAGGCATTTTAAACTTAGTCTCATTCAGATTGGTTTTATTTGACACTATGTATATTGTGGCTGTATTTTACTGTATTTATATGTTGTTGCCTTTTAACTTGTGAAGCACTTTGTGACCTTTTTGTCTGTGAGAGGTGCTATACAAATAAAGTTACTTACTTACTTACTTACTAATGCAGTAACGGGTGCAGCTGCTAATACAGTAACAGGTGCAGGTGCTAATACAGTAGCAGGTGCAGCTGCTAATACAGTAACGGGTGCAGCTGCTAATACAGTAGCGGGTGCAGCTGCTAATACAGTAACGGATGCAGACGCTAATGCAGTAGCGGGTGCAGCTGCTAATACAGTAACGGATGCAGACGCTAATGCAGTAGCGGGTGCAGCTGCTAATACAGTAGCAGGTGCAGCTGCTAATGCAGTAGCAGGTGCAGCTGCTAATGCAGTAGCAGGTGCAGACGCTAATGCAGTAGCGGGTGCAGCTGCTAATACATTAGCAGGTGCAGACGCTAATGCAGTAGCGGGTGCAGCTGCTAATACAGTAACGGGTGCAGCTGCTAATACAGTGCAGCTGCTAATGCAGTAGCGGGTGCAGCTGCTAATACAGTAGCAGGTGCAGACGCTAATGCAGTAGCGGGTGCAGCTGCTAATACAGTAACGGATGCAGCTGCTAATACAGTAGCGGGTGCAGCTGCTAATACAGTAGCAGGTGCAGACGCTAATGCAGTAGCGGGTGCAGCTGCTAATACAGTAACGGATGCAGCTGCTAATACAGTAGCGGGTGTAGCTGCTAATACAGTAACGGATGCAGACGCTAATGCAGTAGCGGGTGCAGCTGCTAATACAGTAATGGATGCAGCTGCTAATACAGTAACGGATGCAGACGCTAATGCAGTAGCGGGTGCAGCTGCTAATACAGTAGCAGGTGCAGACGCTAATGCAGTAGCGGGTGCAGCTGCTAATACTGTAACGGATGCAGCTGCTAATACAGTAGCAGGTGCAGCTGCTAATGCAGTAGCGGGTGCAGCTGCTAATACAGTAGCGGGTGCAGCTGCTAATACAGTAGCGGGTGCAGCTGCTAATACAGTAGCGGGTGCAGCTGCTAATACAGTAACGGGTGCAGCTGCTAATACAGTAGCGGGTGCAGCTGCTAATACAGTGCAGCTGCTAATGCAGTAGCGGGTGCAGCTGATAATACAGTGCAGCTGCTAATGCAGTAGCGGGTGCAGCTGCTAATACAGTAACGGGTGCAGCTGCTAATACAGTAGCGGGTGCAGCTGCTAATACAGTGCAGCTGCTAATACAGTAACCGGTGCAGCTGCTAATACAGTCGCGGGTGCAGCTGCTAATACAGTAGCGGGTGCAGCTGCTAATACAGTGCAGCTGCTAATGCAGTAGCGGGTGCAGCTGCTAATACAGTAGCGGGTGCAGCTGCTAATACAGTGCAGCTGCTAATACAGTAACCGGTGCAGCTGCTAATGCAGTAGCGGGTGCAGCTGCTAATACAGTAACGGGTGCAGCTGCTAATACAGTAGCGGGTGCAGCTGCTAATACAGTGCAGCTGCTAATACAGTAACCGGTGCAGCTGCTAATACAGTAGCGGGTGCAGCTGCTAATACAGTAGCGGGTGCAGCTGCTAATACAGTGCAGCTGCTAATGCAGTAGCGGGTGCAGCTGCTAATACAGTAGCGGGTGCAGCTGCTAATACAGTAACGGGTGCAGCTGCTAATACAGTAGCGGGTGCAGCTGCTAATACAGTAGCGGGTGCAGCTGCTAATACAGTAGCGGGTGCAGATGCTAATACAGTAGCAGCTGCAGCTGCTAATACAGTAGCGGGTTGCTAATACAGTAGCAGGTGCAGCTGCTAATACAGTAGCGGGTGCAGCTGCTAATACAGTAGCAGGTGCTGCTGCTAATACAGTAGCGGGTGCAGCTGCTAATACAGTAGCGGGTGCAGCTGCTAATACAGTAGCAGGTGCAGCTGCTAATACAGTAGCAGGTACAGCTGCTAATACAGTAGCAGGTGCAGCTGCTAATACAGTAGCGGGTGCAGCTGCTAATACAGTAGCAGGTGCAGCTGCTAATACAGTAGCGGGTACAGCTGCTAATACAGTAGCAGGTGCTGCTGCTAATACAGTAGCGGGTGCAGCTGCTAATACAGTAGCGGGTTGCTAATACAGTAGCAGGTGCAGCTGCTAATACAGTAGCGGGTGCAGCTGCTAATACAGTAGCAGGTGCTGCTGCTAATACAGTAGCGGGTGCAGCTGCTAATACAGTAGCGGGTTGCTAATACAGTAGCAGGTGCAGCTGCTAATACAGTAGCGGGTGCAGCTGCTAATACAGTAGCAGGTGCAGCTGCTAATACAGTAGCAGGTGCAGCTGCTAATACAGTAGCGGGTTGCTAATACAGTAGCAGGTGCAGCTGCTAATACAGTAGCGGGTGCAGCTGCTAATACAGTAGCAGGTACAGCTGCTAATACAGTAGCGGGTTGCTAATACAGTAGCAGGTGCAGCTGCTAATACAGTAGCGGGTGCAGCTGCTAATACAGTAGCAGGTGCAGCTGCTAATACAGTAGCAGGTGCAGCCGCTAATACAGTAGCAGGTGCAGCTGCTAATACAGTAGCAGGTGCAGCCGCTAATACAGTAGCAGGTGCAGCTGCTAATACAGTAGCGGGTGCAGCTGCTAATACAGTAGCGGGTGCAGCTGCTAATACAGTAGCAGGTGCAGCTGCTAATACAGTAGCAGGTGCAGCTGCTAATACAGTAGCAGGTGCAGCTTTATATGTTTGCAATAAAAATGTTATGTTGTAATGGAATTCATGCATTAGTTTTTGTTTGCTTTGAACCCAGAGCAGACGTCACACGCCAGACGACATCAACACTGCATACTTTAGTATTTGTTCATTTATCGTGAGTAATATCGATATCGCAAAATTAAGCACTGTTATCGAATATCGCAGGTTTTCCTAATATCGTGCAGCCCTATATATATAAAGAAGCCAGCAGGGTGCATCAAGTACCTGACTAGTTTCAGAGTCTTTACAGCAATCCTCATACTAAGCAAGCATGCAGCGTTTGGCTCCCTATTAGTAACCTTCTAACTGTGGTTAACCTCAGCATCGGCAGAAGGATTTAGTGGATTTTAAGGGTCAGACTTAAAGCTGTATATGGCTACGTTGTTTGTCCCTGACTGAAACTTTTTCTCCACCAGAAGGCACTGGCAGGCTCTTCTTTGAGTATTTTCGCATCCTGCAGCTACTGAAGCCCAAAGAGGACAACCCTCTGCCTTTCTTCTGGCTGTTTGAGAATGTGGTCTTCATGAACACCCACGACAAAGTCAACATCTGCCGTTTCCTTGAGGTTTGCTTAGTTTACATTGTTTTGATTAGAGACATTTGGTTTGAGAGTTTGTTGGACATTTAATTCAATCCTTGAACTTCTAGTTGCTGTTTTTGGAAACTATGTTGTTGAAGACATGAAGAGCTGAATGTCGCTGATACTTGTGTTCTTTTTCAGTGTAACCCAGTACTTGTGGATGCAGTCAAAGTGAGCCCGGCACACAGAGCTAGATACTTCTGGGGGAACATACCCGGGATGAGCAGGTGTGACTTTCCACACCCACTCCTTGTCCTACCTTAGATGGTTTCTGACTTGTTTGGTTTTATAGTTTTGCCGATTTTCCAGAGGGCAGCAGGGACTCAAGAAGTAGAGCTGGTGATCCAAATAATCAGAGGGTTGCTGGTTCAATCCCAAATCCTTCCTGGGAATTCTGCTGTTGTGTCATTGGGCAAGACACTTCAACTGATTTGCCTGTGTTGGACATGGTCAGATGATCCTATGGCCTCTGTCAGACTGCCCCAGGGCGGCTGTGGCTACCAAGCAGTCTACAGTCACCAGCAGCATATGAATGAATGAGGGATTATCTGTGGAGCTCTGAGTGCTTAGAAAAGCACCATGTATAGCATATCCATTATTATTATTAGTATCTGTCTCTTTGCTTTTGCATTTAAAGAACTTTTAGTTTTTGATTGTTTTATACAACAATTTCAAACTTTAGCTTTGATCTTTTCACCTGCAATGAGTCCAGTTTGTCGTTTCTTCTTGTCAGGCCCATCATCGCCTCCCAGAATGACAAACTGAGTCTCCAGGAATGTTTAGAGATAGGTCGAGAGGCCAGGGTGAGCCACAGTCTGTCTTCTATCAGCTTGGTTTTTATTGCGAGCAGCAATCACCATGGCCTGATGTCCTGTTGCAGGTAACCAAGGTGAGAACGATAACCACCAACCCAAACTCACTGAAGCAGGGTAAGGACGTGTCCCTGCTGCCGGTCCTGCAGAATGGAAGTGAGGACAACCTCTGGATCACGGAGCTGGAAAAGTATGTTCTGTGTGTGTGTGGGTGTTTGTGTGTGCGTGTTAACGGACAGCTGTACCAGTGTTTCTAAACCTTAGACTGGTAGAGAATAGGCACTAAGGTTAAAGTTTGACAAGAATAAATTTATTTTTATGCATTTAATCTACTGATTTATGTTGATAATTTCTCAAGACAACTTGAAGTGAGTTAATTTATAAATATTTTACGGGGGAAATATAGACATATATATCGTATATCGGAATTCAGCAAAAATATATTGAGATATAAGTTTTGGTCCATATCGCCCAGCCCTAGGTAGAACCTTAGTTGTTCTCATTGTTTTCCACAGAGGACTGAGAAATTTTGGTTTAGGCTACCTTCTGTAAATAAAACACTTATTTACCGTATTCATAGTCTGGCTGGTCCCACGACTTATACTCCGGAGCGACTTATACACCAAATTATGTATACCGCGCTGCTGCAGACCGGCTCCGGACCAGGAATAAGCTCCTCTGCCCCGCCATCACCTGCTGGAGCCTGTGGCAAGCTGCTGCGGGCTGGGCGGCTCCGACCCAGGAATGAGCTCCCCTGTCCCGCTGGGAGGGTTTCAAGCATCGCCATCACAAATACATTACTTACGTTATTTATAAAACCAGATAACGTGTATAATTTCAGATACAAACTTATCTTTAGGCATACATATTTTAGAACAACATTAAAGTTATTTTGTATTTCTGTTAACAGGTGTAAAAGTTTGGAATAAGCTAAGTGGGGATCTAAAGCAAAGTCCCACATTGCATAAGTTTAAAGATACATATACAAAGTTATACCAATGAATTATATGGAGGAGGAAGAAAAGATGTAAGGTGTTGCATTTGATTGTAGTTGTCTATTGTTGGTGAACTGGTAGGTGTGAATATTGGAAAGGGGGGGATATATAAAAAGTGTAATTTATGTTCGTGTGACCGAGGATAAAAACATGTTATAAGAAACTGGCTATGAAACACAGTGTAAGGAAAAGTAATTTTGTCTTACTTTGAAATTTGACTTGAGGGGATTATATAAACTACCAGAGCTTCTTTCCCTTCCAATTGAACATGTTCGACATACATACATATGTATATACATGTATATGTATATGTATATACATGTATATATATATGTATATACATGTATATATATATTCACGTGTATATATATATATATATATATATATATATATATATATATATACACGTGTATATACATGTGTATATACACGTGTATATTAGGGATGCACATCTCTCTGTGAAAAACGATTCAATATGAATCTAGATGCACAGGTTACGATTCAATTCAAAAACGATATCCTTTTATTACAGACCGATTCGAAACGGTTCGATTCGATTTTTAACGATTCGATACGGTAAGAATAACTAAACAATTAGATTCTCTAGTTTATATTCGTTGAACATATTTTATAAAGAAAATAACACAGTTCTGTTAAAGTGACAGTACCACATTTATTTTCAAATATGTAAAAAAAAACATGTCTTAAGCATTGTGGCTTTATGGCACTTGTAGGAAAAAGAAAAAAAGAAAAACAGAATACCAAAACCACATGTTACTATTCTTATTTTTAGGCATGGAGATATGTGGTTGGATTGCTGGATGGGAAGTCCAGAGGTAAAAGTAGCAAGACTAGTTATAAAAAAGTGCAAGATTTCAGCCTGAGCTTGTTTTGAACACTAGAGGTAGGTAACAAAGTGCAACATTTTCATGTAAACAAGTCACACACCTATAAACCGTAACCTGATGATTAGCTGATTAGCCTCATCTCAAAATGTAGCCTCAAGCCTGGGGAACCACAGTGGAACGACAAAGCAGCAACATCATTCTTAACTCAACAATGCTCAATAGTGGCAAGTGCTTCATGCACAAAATTAGAGTAAATAAATATAACTAAAATCAAACTGCTGCTTTTTGACCAGATAAAGGTATTTCTATCCAATCAGAAACTGAAAAATAGCTCACTTCACTTACAGAACGCCTGTGAATGTTCTCTGTCATTTTACTCCTGATCACTGTTGTTTTTTTTTTTTTTGGAGGGCAGATTTTTCTTCAGGAAAATGAGCTGATCCACATGCTCATGTTTGAGTAGGCTGCGTTTTGTGGAAACAATATCTCCAGCAGTACTGAACACCCGTTCAGAGGCCACACTAGTGGCTGGGATGCAGAGGTATCTTTTAGCAAGAGATGACAGCAGTGGCAAGTCCTGCTGCTCTTTCCACCACTGTAGAGGATTTTCTTCCAGAGGCAATGAAGCACGCTCTCTGTACCTTTTGACTTCTTCACTGGCCTTGTCTCTCACAGATGTAGCCGCCATCCTCACTTCAAAGTCTTTTCCCAACAGCTGGTCCAAGGCAGATATTTTCTTCTTTTTGAAAGGAGGGAGATCATCTAAAAAAAAACAAACAAAACAAAAAAAAAAAACAATTACCATATGTTACGGACTTTGTTTGCCATGCCTCAGTGGTGCTTTACTTTGTAGCTGACATAACCCAATCATATCTTTATTCATCTGATGTTCAGAATGAATTACTCTTGTAAACATATGATTAAACCCGGTCTTTGCATGCTAATTCTCATATTTTATGTGTTTTTGTAATATGGTAATATTTTAGATCTGTAGCATGAGTTTATACTAGCGTCAACCCATTATTGATCACGGTATAAAATATACAAACCTTCTGGCTCATGTTGGGTCTGAGGGGCATCAATCCTGATGCCCAGCTCTCCAAGGGCAGGTTCAGTCTGGCATGGAGTGGTCTGCAGTGGGCCTCCATGGACTGGATCCCCTGTTGCCAAAGCCTAGAAAAATGAAATATAAAAGACAGCTTGTGTACAAAATCAAACAAACATTAACAGTAGTCAGGATAAATCTAATAATACCAAATTATAGATTAATACAATGCACTGTAATGTGTATGTTTAGAACAAAGCTCATTTACAAACCACAAAATACACAATACAGTATTATGTATTTTAACAAAATTAATTAAATGATGAGGTGTTTCCAGGTGTACCTTGTTATGCAGGGATGTAGCTTTTGCTGTTATGTTTGCGAACGTCCGCTCAGCATCATGGTCCGTCAGGAAGGGCAGAGACTTGAAGCGGGGATCCAGAGCTGCTGCAGTGTGGAACAGATCCTCCAGGCCAGTGTAGCGCTTCTCCAAGTCCTCTCTGAATGCTTGTTTCATCTCTCTGATTACTACCGAGTCTTCATCTGCTGCTTCAAATGTCTTTTTAAGCTTTTCTCTGACAGGGGAAATCACTGAGAGTGTGGGCCGCTTGTCTTCACACATGCTGATCGTCACAAGTTTGACTGGCACCATCAGCTTCACAATGTCTTCAACATCACAGAAGTCTTTGTCCTTCAGAGTGTTAAGCTCTTCTCCTCTTCTGAGATCCCTGGACATGAGTGCAGCAGAGATGGCAGGCTGTTGTTCGAGTACCCGTTCAAGCATAATCTGGGTACTATTCCACCGGGTGGACACGTCTTGGATGAGTTTGTGGGTAGGCAAAGCAAGTTGTTTCTGTTTGTCTTGTAGAATTTCTGCTGCCCTGACACTGCGGTGAAAAAAGCCAACCACTCTTCTCACCTTTCCCAGCAACCTTGCTACTGTGTCCATTTTGAAGGCTTTCTGTGTGGCCAGATTTATAGTGTGTGCAAAGCACATGAGGTGAGGAGTCATTTCTGCTTCCACGCCAGCTAAAACCATGTTTGTGGCGTTGTCAGTCACCAGGGCTGGCTCTTTATCTAGAATCTTCCAGTCAACACATGCCTGTTTCAGCAGAGCACCTACATTCTTCCCAGTGTGGGATCCTTTGAATGCCCGGGTCTGTAAGACGTAAACATGTAACTCCCAATCCGGAGCGATGTGTTGGGCTGTGATGGTCACATATGACTCCGTCGCACATGACGTCCAAGCATCAGTAGTTATTGCCACTCTTTCTGCTTTTGCCAGTTTTTCTTCAACTTGGCTCTTAACCTGGGCATACAGCGCTGGCATACACGTGTTGGTGATATGATTTCGGGACGGTATCTTATATCTGGGCTCTAATGTATGAATCAAATCTTGAAATCCTTCCCACTCGACAATATTGTAAGGACATAATCCTTTGGCAATAAAACGTGTTATTGATGCCGTGATTTCCCTAGCGCGTGCTGAGTTTTGACCAAGTCGCTGGAAAAAAGTAGGAATGGCGTTCTCCGTCCTTGCCTGTTTGCCACTGGTTCCTGCACGCTTCTGCTCGGTAAACTCACCGTACTCTTCACCGTGTTTTCTCTTTGCATGCTGGTCCAGATTTGTAGTGCTCCCGGAGTAGGTCAACGAGGCTCTACAAAGTTTACAAATAGCATGGCTTCTGTCGAGCTTCCCCGCCATCTTATAAAACCCAAACACTGTCCAAACCTTGGATTTTTGTTTTCCCGGTGCGTTGAAAATCTGTCTCGGTGTATTATCACGTCTTTCGCCCAGGCTAATGTTGTTGGTCTCCGCCTCCTCCATTTTTCGTGTTGTCATTTGAGCTAACAGCTAGTCACTGGCAGCTATCGTGTTTAGCGGGGTAGCTGCTTCTTTGGGTTTGCGGGGTAGCTTAAGCTCTCGCGATGTTTTAGCGATTCTGGCGCCTGGCCTACGTATGATGCAGCCAAACGACTCAAAATCTCGCGATACCCGATCGATGACTCTAGAACCGATTCATCTATGAGTTCAGGTCTTTTCCCTATCGATTGAGGAGGCTGCTACCGATGCACCCAAATCTCTCACTTGTTAACAGAATATCCGGTCGCATCGGTTTATCTCTCACAACCCTAGTGTATATACATATGTATATACACGTGTATATACATATGTATATACATGTGTATATTAGGGCTGGGACTTGATTAAAAAATTTAATCTAATTAATTACAAGCTTTGTAATTAATTAATCTCAATTAATCGCATTTTAATCGTTCAGGAAAATGTGCTCTCAAAGTAAAACTTTTAATTAAAATTATGAGATAGAGAATCAAACATTAGACATGGTTATTACTGTAAACTAAAGCTTTTATTAAAAAATGCATTTTAATTATTCAAATGTCACTGTGTGATATGAAACAAAACCCAAATCAACAAAAATTTATAATTACAAATAGAAAACACCTGCAAAGGGTTCCTGAGCCTTTAAATAGTCTCTCTGTCTAGATGAATGACTGAAATAAATTTGACTTTGCACCAGATTCTAATTTTTCCAGTTTCACTTGTTTGTATAATTGGGAGTTTTTATAAGCATTTCTACTCATAATGTAGTAAAAACACATAAATAATAATCCTTCAAAATGACATGTTATAAGAAACTGGCTATGAAACACAGTGTAAGGAAAAGTAATTTTGTCTTACTTTGAAATTTGACTTGAGGGGATTATATAAACTACCAGAGCTTCTTTCCCTTCCAATTGAACATGTTCGACATACATACATATGTATATACATGTATATGTATATGTATATACATGTATATATATATACACGTGTATATATATATATATATATATATATACATATATATATATATATATACATATATATATATATATATATATATATATATATATACACGTGTATATATATATATATATATATATATATATACACGTGTATATACATATGTATATACACGTGTATATACATATGTATATACATGTGTATATACATATGTATATACATGTGTATATTAGGGCTGGGACTTGATTTAAAAATTTAATCTAATTAATTACAGGCTTTGTAATTAATTAATCTCAATTAATCGCATTTTAATCGTTCAGGAAAATGTGCTCTCAAAGTAAAACTTTTAATTAAAATTATGAGATAGAGAATCAAACATTAGACATGGTTATTACTGTAAACTAAAGCTTTTATTAAAAAATGCATTTTAATTATTCAAATGTCATTGTGTGATATGAAACAAAACCCAAATCAACAAAAATTTATAATTACAAATAGAAAACTCCTGCAAAGGGTTCCTGAGCCTTTAAATAGTCTCTCTATCTAGTTGAATGACTGAATTAAATTTGACTTTGCACCAGATTCTAATTTTTCCAGTTTAACTTGTTTGTATAATTGGGAGTTTTTATAAGCATTTCTACTCATAATGTAGTAAAAACACATAAATAATAATCCTTCAAAATGACAGTAGAGCAGGCACAAATATGATCTAGGACTTAACTGTACTAACTTTTAACACCAGAGCAGGCGTGACATATTCTGAGAATGATCAGGAACACTAACTGGTTCCAGTTGGATGACTGGAGGATGATGGGATGATAAAAGATCATGGCGAGGAAATAATGATCTGACGAACAGGTGAGCGGACCTTCCTTATATGGGAAGTCCTGATGTTAAGAAGGAGATGCTGCAGACCCGCAGATTCACGCCTGCAGCAGAGAATCTGGTGTGATCTCCAGCCTGATCACAACTTCCTCGTACCTCCCTGCCCCTGATGCACTTAAGCATCCGCCCCTTAGCTGATGACAGCTTCAACACACCTGCTGCTTAATGATAGTAATGCATGTGATGTTAGACAGAGACTCGTCTCAGAAACAGAACTGTTTAGAAAATCATCAGAAAAGTTTCAGAGTGTTTCTGTTTTAACTTAAACTTCTGTTTTCAACTTTAAGACACGTTGTCTGTGATTGTTTACAGAGTAGTGAGAACACGGAGCGTTCTCCCAGCGGAAGCCAGGTGCCTCTCGTTTGTCTGACTACTTTCATAAACTACTGTTAGGGCACAGAATTATTCTGTCTGGTGCTTTCAGCGCTGCACAGATGTTAAGTAAATGTTAAAAATATAGCTTACCGCAACTTTTGTTAAGTTCCCGTTGCCACCGGGCAGCCGCAGCAGAGACGATCTCTGAAAAATGTCCGCGACACGGGCTCCGTTGTTGTCTGGAAGTTTTGTTTCCGAAGTTAAGAAAAGAGGCGGACGTGCTTCCTAAATCCTGCATCAGTCCAAGCAAGGCAACTTCTTTCTGTTTTTATTCCGTTTTAGTAGCCATTAGCGCTGTGCATTGTTGTGTGCGTCAGTGATATTCAGTCTACGAGGAAATCGTGCAATGACAAAGGTTCTGCCGTGCTTGAAATGCAAGCTGCGATTAAATGCGTTAATTTTTTTAACGCGTTATTTTTTTCTAATTAATTAATCGTAATTAACGCGTTAAAGTCCTGGCCCTAGTGTATATATATATATATATATACATGTGTGTGTGTATATATATATATATATACTCTGTCAGTGCGCCCCAGGGCAGCTGTGGCTACATCGTAGCTCATCCCCACCAGTGTGTGAATGGGTGAATGACTGGTTGTGTTGTAAAGCGCCTTGGGGGGTTTCAGGACTCTAGAAGGCGCTGTATCAAATACAGGCCATTTACCATTTGTCCTTCAGGTGGAGGTGGACTGCAGAGTTCTGACCTGAAGAGGCGGCTCTCCTGTGTTGTTATGTTCTTGTGTACTTGTTGTTTAGTTTCTCTAATGTAAACATCTGGACAGTGCTCCTACACTGGACTGCATAAACGACCCCACTGAGCTTCTGTTTGGGTGTTGTGTCTTCTGGATGGACCAGGTTCTGTCTGAGGGTGTTGCTGGGTTAAAGTTTACCGGGATGTTGTGTTTGGAGAAGATTCTTCTAAGTTTCTCTGAGACTCCTGCCACGTATGTGATGATGGTGCCTTTGTGTAAAGGGTGTTGTTGTTAGGTTGGTAGCAGAGCTCTCATGTTTAGTGTTGAGTTCAGTGAGATCATGGAATGGGATCAAGAATTTCCTACTAACAGGAAAAAGATCTCAGCTAACATAGCTGTAGACAATGTTTGGGAGAATACTTTGTAAATTTATTTAGTTACAGAATACTTGCTTTAAATGTATTCTGTTACTTTGTTTAATCTTGGTATTATATTCAGAATACTTAGAATACTTTGCCATGAAAACAGCATTTAGGTCTATTAAATGTCACAAAATGTGTTGATAGCTCCTCCCGCAGGAAAGCAGGGCATATTAATGCTGAATGTCATGTACCGACTGGGAGAAAGGTAAAACAATGAAATTATTTTTATTTATTTATCAAACAGTCAATAGAAACTATATTTCTGTTTCTGTGAGAAAGTGCTTGAACATTGCGCAGCGTTACTATCTGCAAGAAAATGTAGTCGAGACAAAACGCTTCTAAATTATTGGGACTGGCCAATCACAGCACACTTATTTAGAAAAGACGATGTATTGTTTTTATTTTTTGTGTGTTTTGTAGTTTTTCCACGATGGAATGGCGGACTGCCTCATTGACAGACATCTAAAGTAGTCCAATCACAGCGCTCTATATGTTTGATGGGCCAATCCTAGCACTCTTGGGGGGGTGTCGCGCTCTGTGCTCCTCCATGAGAGCGGGGCTGGGGGGTTGCACACGTTCCGCTGGTGTTTCTCACCAGTATCAGCTGATGGAGAGCTCTAGTTTTGTTGTTGTTGTGTCGTTCGTGTCAGCGGACACGGTAGGATCGGGGAGGGGGGCGGGGCATGACGCTTAGCCTGGCGGGCCGCCAGGCTTGTAAAGCGATGGGGGAAACCCCGCTCTTACAGAGCTGTCTTTAGTGAGCTCAAAGTCAGTTTGGTTGTACACCTGTGTGATGACAATAAAGGATGTTGAATCCTGAGTACTGCTAAATGTACTTCCTGAATGAGTGACCTTTTAAGGCTAAAATAACAAATTCAGACAGAAGGACGACTTCTTTCTTCCTTTTTAATGCATGGCCTCACCAGCTGGTATCAAAACAGGACTCAGTATTGGAAGATGATCAATAACCAAACAACTTGGACTCGGATCAGGGGCATAAATGTGGTTAAAACATCTCTAGATATAAGTCAGCTTTAAAAACTAAAACTATTATTCATGAACTAACATTAACTCCAAATAATGACACTAAATGATATATTTTCCTAGTTTATTATGTTGTTTGAAACCGAGGGTCTCGTTATCTGAATTTAGAAACTTGTTGGATCATGAATCTGTTTAAAAGTGTTGCTCTTTATGTGCCCCTTTTTACCTTTGAGCCCCCGCCCCTTGAAAGGTCTCTGCACGGCCCTGGTGTTAACTAGCTATTACCTCCGACAGAACGTTACTCTGGTCCAGAATATTTTACTGAGGATTTACATGAAGAACATCAGACTCCTTAAACTCAAACCAGGTCTGTACAACCGTCGTCTTTACTGACTCCCACATCTCCGGCTGTTGCCTTTAGAGGTAATAAAACCTGGAATCCGTGCTGGACCCCCCGGCAAGTACAGACTTGAACACATTCGCCTAAATATTTCTGCAATGATCAGATTTGATTTTACCAGCAGTCCTGGCTCATTCTTTCTCTCACTTAGTCGAGTAATATTTCATATTTGACTTTTAGCTGTAGGGCATTCAAACATCAGAAGAGAAGCCTGATAAACTAATTGCTGCTGCCTTTTCCCTCCAGAATCTTTGGATTTCCCAAACATTACACTGATGTGAGGAACCTGAACCGACAACAGAGGCAGAAGCTGCTGGGGAAGGCGTGGAGCGTTCCCGTCATCCGTCACCTTTTTGCCCCCTTGAAGGAGTACTTTGCTTGTGAGGAGCTTCCTCTCCTGACCGTCCCCAGCACGTCCAGCTCCGTCTCTCCCCCACTGCCCCACACTCTGCAGACCTCCACCAGCTTCCAGCAGTAGGGGAGTCTCCATCTCCATAGTCTGACAGAATGTTTAGTGTTTAGTTCATTTCAGATTATTTTTCTTGAATCTTTTATACTTTTTAAAGACACTACAAAATACACACACACACACACACACACACACACACACACACCACACACACACTTGATTTTCATGGTGCTGTATAGGTCCTGTAGCAGTTGATGAGCAGAAACTGGGGATGCACCAGTATAATAATGGTTTGATATGTTTGCCTACACTAGTGGCCACAGCACCTACGTTACCTCTGTGCTTCAGTCGAACGATGTACACTCCCAGGCTGCATCACTCGCATGGCCAGCCCCCTCTGAAACTCACACTCAAATATACTAGGATGTTATAATATAACCAGCCCTGTTTTCCAACAACACTACTCAGAACAAAAGGAGCAGGGAATCAGCAAACCGTGTGAGGTGATCTGTATGCCGCACAAAAACACGTCACAGCAAAGCCATGAACCGTCTACTTAGTCTCTGGCCTTCTGTCGGACTCTGAACGATGAAATGGCTGCAGGCAGGACGCTCTGGAGCAGCCAGTGACTCCGCGCCCTGGCCTTGTAGTGGTCAACAAACGCGTTTCCAGACCAAGTCAGCCTGCTAAGAAGCACAAGGTAGGAAAGAGGAGGGAAATACTGAAAGGTTGCTGCTAGAAATGGCAGCCTGACCGAACCACACCCATCAGGGTCACGCTGAGTGTTGCTGTTGGAAAACCTCGGTAACATCAACTGATGATGGTCCTTATGCTGGTTTATTGTGTGCCTACCCCACTTTCCCACTTTTACTGGCTTTTTGCCACATGTGGCTGCAGATGAGTCAATAATCAGGTCAGGAAACGTTGAATGTGATTAGATTGCACAACATTTTTGCACATAATTCCGGGTGAACACATGAATGTGGTTTGAATGAGGCATAGCTGTGAAGTGTCATACATGCTGGTTTAAACATGGTGGAACACGGCATGATGTCCTGTTTACGACAGATTTTAATGAATAAATTTTTTTTTCATTTCCAAATCTGAGCATTGATTTAATTATGAAATGGAAAAAATAATTGTTATTAAAGATTTCTTCTTTTTTGGGTTCAAAAGGAGTTATTTTTCCTACTGTACCTCCAATAGGACATGCTCTACTCCTGCAGGGAGAAGAGATGGAATTTGGATTGTTGTCGACATTCAGACACAACGAAAATATTCAAGGGTTAATATTAAAAACTGAAGTTATTTAATGTGTTCTCAAACTGTTAAAACATGAGGATCCAAGTCTAGACACTGTGTCCCTAACCTGTTAGGGTTGGGCGTTGAGCCTCGATTGGAAGCAGCACTGTCGTTTTTCCAAAATGTAAACATTTTGATTCCCTGTCGACCGACTAGAAGCCACGGCCCATCCTGAAATAAAGACATGATCAGAAAATTCTGATGGACTTTAGAAGCCAATCATACCACCTGTCTGTCACTTCTACTCTGCAGCAGCCCTCAGCGCAGCATCATGCCCCCCCCCCAACACACACACACACACTGCAGGCGTGCGGAGGCAGAAATGTAAACACACACATCAGCTGAGCTTTTACTCTTTGAGAGTGATGAAGTGTATCATGCAACGAAAGATACGGGCCAGAGGAAGCTCGCTGGATTAAACAGCTTAAAGAACGAACTCTGGGCAGAGAGAGGTGCAGTCTTAAGGCTCACTGCAGAAGTAAAAGCAGTCGAGGCATCAGCAGTCCAACGCAGCTACACTCGTCTGACCGTCAGAGCAAATAACCAGTAAAATAGAGTCATGCTAGATCAGCATTTCTCTGGTGGGTCTCACTGGGTCTGCCCACCAGGAGACGATACGGGGAATAATGAAATAATACACAAAACACTCGTTTGTGAAATGGTGTAGTACTTTTAGAAAACTTTAGTCTGTTGAGCGTTTTAATGTATTAAATCTGTTAGATTGTCACTGACCGCATTTACATTTCAGTTTTCCTAGGAATGGTTAGATGAGGCCGTGTGAAGTGGTTCAGTGCATCAGCCAAACTCACTATTGGGTCAACACTGCCTCCTGCTGGATCATAAACATCATTGCAGGCAAACGTAAGAGCGATACTACTGACATCAAGTCCTGGTGGGCCATTTTGTTCACCCACTGTGGTCCGGTCATTTTATTAACGTATTAAAGTTCAGTTGAACAAATGCAACAATTAAACAACTGAAAATATTATGAATGTTTTAAAAAGAATAATTTTGAAATGAAATTCTGGTGGATCAAGCAGAAACGGAGAGGAACAGGATGAAACAAGGAAATAAAACAAATACCTCATTTGCTGATATAAGAACAAAATGATCTCGCGGACCACCTTCTATTTTCTTTCCTGCTCCATTATGCATCAGTAGCTGAACACTGGAACAACGTTGTTTCAAACAGCATCCCCATCGTTCACGTGACTACTTCATAAACCATATGTGCACCAACACGGGGTCCCGGTCTATGAGCTGGATACATGCACCACTGCATCAGGATTTAGGTGTAGATTCTCAGTCATTCTGCACATGATCAGACTTATGTTTTAATTGAAAACAGTTGTGAGTTGTGTTTTTATTTTATTTTCTCCCCGTGTCCTGTCTGAAGCAAACAGAACTGATGTCTGAATGCTGGTAACAAGCCTTACAGATTTACTCTCAGGTGGAGCATCAAAGCGTCTGCTTTAATGTCACGCCTGATACTTAAAACTTTATTGTTTTTTGAATGCTTTGCAATTCTGACCAGACACGGAGACAGGTGAAAGAGAAAGGAAGAGACAAAAGGAAAGAGGGGGAAAATAGAAATACGCTTTGCATTAACCAGTATAGAAAAACAATCAATGAAGATCAAGAGTCTGCTTCTAGACCTGCAGAAAGGGGACACACAACAATACATCAGGAGCAAGCTATCACTGCGTCAACCTGATGAAGAAATTATATAATCAACATTGTTTAACTGAACAATCACACGATAATAAATCACAGTGCATTTAGTGCCAACCACAGCCTTAAGACCTGTGTTGAACGTGCCCAAGCCCATACTTATGAGAGCACCATGTGAGCACCTGTGTGTGTACACGCGCTTGTTTATGTAAGGTTTCTCTATAGGAGCGCCCAATAGAGAGTGTGAGGGACCACAGATCTGCCCCCAAAGATGTGTAGGAGACGGGGAGAGCTCCAAGTCCCAGAGATCCAGGAGCTGTCCCAGAACACAGGAACCCCAAGGAGACTGCGACCAGAAAAGTCCCTGCCCCCCTTGAGAGATGCAGAGGATTGTCCTGGGGAGCCACAGCCGGCAGAGTCCCGGGAGATATCAGCGGCAAGCCCTCAGGCCCGCCCGCAGCCTCGCACCCCCAAGCCGGCCGAGCCCGGGACCCAGCAGAGCCCAGGGACCCAGATCCCACCAGGCAGCCACTGGGATTGATCAGGCTGACGCCAAAAATCTTAAACCCCCTGACCCGGGAGCCGTGAACACTCAGGGAGACCAAGGCACCACACCCCACACCAGGTGTGGCAGGGGGAGGGGGGACAAAGATCTATATCATCAAAAGAAGTTCCAGGAGAGGGGAGGAGTCAAAGGCCCCACCTGACATATACAGTCATACACAAACACAGTCATACACTCCCTCCCTCATGCTCACACATGCACATACAACCAAAGACTTACAAAAATGCACGCCGGACACCCACTCATGCTCCCCATACACACCCTATTCACTCTGGTCCCGGCACTGCTGCACATGGGGTACAACCATCACCGGTAACCAGAGTTAGACCCTTTCTGCTGGGGTGCTGATGAGCAGGCTCCCCCGCCCAACGCTGAGCACAGCAACCCACCACCCCAGACCCCAACCAGACGGCCAGATCTCCCTCCTAGCCTCCAGCCCCAGGAAGCCAAGCAGCAACAGAGGTGGCTAAGAACCCCTAGTCTCCCTCCGCCTGCTCCAATATAGTGTTAGTTTTAAGTGAATAGAGCTCAGAAACAGCAGTATGTTATAGGCTCAATATAAGGCTTTTACATTCATTTCAGTGAGACTTGTTTGAGAAGATTCCTATGTACTTGTGTTGCCATGGTAACAGATGACAGGAATCTGCTTCAATATGGAGATTTCCAATGTCTTATGACCTTTTTAAAATTTAAATAATGTTTCTTTGTTAAGGTATGTTGATACAGTAGTGTCTCAAAAGTTTACAAAATGTTGTTGCTAAGCTTGTTGCCATGGTAATGGATAATGCATTTAGGCAAGGCAGCTTTATTTATACAGCACATTTTAAACATAGGGACAATTCAATGTGCTTTACAATTAGCATTAAATAGCTCAACAATAAACATGAGAACACAAACTAAAAATATACACAGGTACAATTATAATTTAGCGCCAAATGGAAAAGACAATTAAGGTTAAGCAATGACATCACAGATTACAGTGGAGACGACGCAGCATAAGAAACCATTCATGTAAAGACTGATGAGGACATGTGCATGAGGGTTTTAAAACAAGGGTTGGGGCAGATCTGAGGTCATGGGGAAGCTGATTCCATATGTGAGCAGCTGAGCAACTTGATGCATCTCAGGGTTCCCCCAGCGCTTTATAAGCCTGGCAGCCCGCCAGGCTAAGCGTCATGCCCCGCCCCCCTCTCCAACCCTACCGTGCCCAGTGACACTAACGGCGGAGCGAAACTAGAGCCATCTATCACAGGGTGTCCGCGGGGTTTTAAAAAGTATTAAAAAGTGATAAATAAAAATAGTCAAATTTCAGGCCATTAAAAGTGTTAAATTTGGTCTCAGAGGTATTATTTTTTCCAAATTAGGTATTATTTTTTTCAGACTATCAGGTGTCTTATTCTGAACATCGACATAGAAATATATTCCGAATGAAATGTTTTGAACGATTATAAAAAACAAAACAAGCCGATTATTTGCTCCTCCCGCCTGCGCTGCCCCGAGTTACAAATGAAGCGCTCCTCCCACAGTGTTGCCAACTTAGTGACTTTGACGCCATTTCTAGCAGCTTTAGACCCCCTTCTTGACTTTTTAAATCTTAAAAGTACCTAGCGAATACCTCAGAAACATCTCTGGTAACCCTTAGCTACTTTCTGGGTAACTGTCGTCGACATTTCCTGCAGGTTAGCTAAACACTCCGCCTGCTCTCCGGACCGTTCTTCAGGACATTAGGAAAGGGAATGATGTAGTGATGTGTCACCCCGGCTTTCCACGGGAGCCGTCAGCAGCACGTTACTGCAGCAGCACGTCATAGCTGCTGATAGGAACCGCTGTGGTCAACAGAACCTTTTCCACCAGAGCCGTCAGCAGCGCGAGTCGGCCGCGTCTCAGGAGCAGCATGTCGCGGCCTTTACGCGCCGGTTCTATTTTCTACGCGCGACGCCTCTGAAACGGGTCAAGTTCGACATTTTTGGGGAAGGAAAGACAGGAAATTGGACGCGGAAATGGAGAGAAGCTCCCGAGATTTTCAGAATAAAGAACGTACTGCCTTCCGGTTGCTTTACTTTAAAAAAACGTTACTAACTGTGCGGCCCCGTGAGAAGTTATCACCTAGCTAGCGGTCTCCTTTGTTTTTCAGGTCCGTATTGGCGATTATAAAACGGACAGAACATAAAACACAAACCATGTTGTAGTTTTCTCCTGCTTGTTGTTGTGTTTACTGACGAAGTCACTCGTGTGACTTCGTGCTCAGTCGGTGACAGCTGCTCCCCTGCTGCTTCGCGTCTCGTGGGAGGGGCCAAGCAGCAGCTTACGGGAGCAAGACGTGCTGCTGCAGTAACGTGCTGCTGACGGCTCCGGTGGAAACCCGGGGTCAGTCGCTAAAGAAACAGCTCTCGGAGCCGGCTCCATGTCGGATTAACCAGAGTGAGTGACACACACTGTACCTGCGGGCTCCTGAGCCGCTAAAAACGGCTAAATGTGCGCGTGCAGCTTGCCCCCGTTCGCTGATACCGGGTTGGGGGGTGGGGGGTGCAGCTGTGGTTGGGACATTTATTACATTAACTGATGGAATTGTAAATAGTTTATAAATAAGGTAGAAATAAGTTCCTCAGGCTGATAACTAATCTCTCTGAGGACACGGTGCTAGTGTACTCTCCTACAGCACCTTGACATGACTAAATAAATATTATGCAACATTTTGTGAACATCATTTTATTTGCATGTATTTGTTATAAATGCCACTGTATAATTCTTGTTGTCAATATTTGCAAGATATCGGTATTTGGGTCTGTACTGGTTAGACTTAAATGAGTTAAACCAAGGTCTATAGCCCTTGGGTCATAAACTATGAGCTGTAAGTATATTGGTCTTTTTATACTGGGAATCAGGAGTTATTTTAGTGATCATCTTGTTTCTTGTTTATTTTTGTCCTGAGCAGTTTTATGACTGAATAAAAACAACAAAAAAATCTACATAAATTGAAAAATAATCGAGATCTCAATTTCAGTCACAATAATCGTGATTATTGTTTTTGCCATAATCGAGCAGCGCTACTTTAGCATATCCGGTCACATAATGATGACGTCATTCAGTGGTCGTTGTGCATCATTTCAGGCCTCGTGGTCAACTGTCTGAACCGCTGAACAGAAGTGCCTGGCTTATTTTCTAAGTAAAATAAATATGTGCAATATGTTGTCAACATCACTGAGTCTCTAAGTCTATTCTTTTTGTATGTTATATATGTTAAAATATGTGGAAATAGGTCGCTGATTAACACTTGCAATTTAGTGTTGTGATGGTTTTAAAAAAAAATTCTGCAGGTATTTAAAAAAAGTATTAAAAAGTAGTAAATTTTACTTAAGGATTGCTGTATATACCCTGTATCAGCATATACTGGTGAGAAACAGCAGCGGAACATGTGCAACCCCCCACCCTCGCTCTCACAGAGGAGCGCTACGGGACCTTACTTGGCCATGTCATTGTTTTCTGAAGACAGGTGATGTTGTTTGAATACAATAAAACTTTCATAAGTGTGTTTAGATTGGAAACAAAGTAGTTTGTAGTGATGTCTAAGTGTTTGCATGTATAGATTTCTGTGCGTTTTCAAAGTGTTTATAATATTTTACTGGTTACTTGTAATTTTAAAAAAATGTAACTGGGAGTAAAAAACTGTATATATGGTGGATATTGGCTTTGGACTCGGTCTTCTTAGATATAGTTTACAGCTTTTGGTCATAAACCATGGTCTCTTTCATTGATGAATGGTTGGAAACACTCAACAGTACACGGAGATCACTAACAATTTTATTTGAAATATGTGTTCTTGAAAGTCGTAACAACAAATAAACAGTCATAAATAAATAGGACATAATTTAAAATAGGTGTAGGTACAGACATCGCAGTTCTAGCATTTGGGATGGTAAGACTTCATCTTTACTTTTCATCTGCAATACAAGAAGAAGAGATTTCATCATAAATATGTAGTAAACACCATTACATGTGTTAATAAAAACACTCAAATCTAACACTTTAGTTTCTGGACCTACTGAATCTGCCAATTGTGTTGCAGCCCAAAGAGCTCATTGAGCCTATTCTATCCATCCGTCGCCCAAAGCAGCCAGAAGATCTCCTGGTGGAGTCATTTCGGAGGCTCTTTAGGTTCTTTGCTGAGAAAAATTCTCTGATTTCTGCCTCATCCAGCCCATTGGGTGGCTGTTTTTCATCTTCTGTATCACCCATGCCATCGAGACTCTCCGTTTCCGATAGGACATCCTGGTCCACCAATCTATTCTCTGATAATGACTCAGCCAGTCTGTGAAGAAGCACCTGCAATACACATGAGCATTAAGTTATTATTCATTCATGGAGCAGGCGATGCATATCACCCTTTTCCTTTCAGAACACCTTCCAGTCTCAGAGCTCCGTAGAGTCACATCCTGGTTCCAGAGCTTGATAAAGACACAGTTCTGTCCAAGAGATTCACAGACCTAAACCCCAGGAGCCAGATGAACATGGCCACAAATCCCTGTTCCAGAGAATGAGAGAGCCATCTCCAAGTGATGGAGCCAAACTGATCCTCATCCCAGTACAAAAAGCTTCATGTTTCACTTCTCTGTCCCAATACCACATTTATGTCCCATGACTAGTCAAGTGGCATTCGGTCATTTTCCAGGCCAGAGTCACATCCCAGTCTAAACATTTGACTCGGTTAAATCCCTGTCCCCGAGTGTTATGGAACAGGATCCATAACCCAAACCCAGGGCTGTAAGTTTCTTCTGCAGTCTCATTCGTGTGCCAGAGCTGCTTTGGCTCCATGTGGGAATTAGTGGTTTAACAACACTTTACTCTGTGAGGGTTAGTGGCTGCCTCACAAGATAATACTCAACAAGGTCCACACTCACCTTAAGGACGTTCACGTCAGTGTCAGTCAGGCCAGAGTGGATGGGATTCGTGCTGCACAGCTGCAAGTTTAAGATCAGGAAAAGGCTGCAAAGAGGAATGATGGGTAGATACATGTTTCTGCCAGCTGCTGTTCTGATGAAATTTTGTCCAGTGGCTGTTTGTTGCTGCAGCCCACATCCTCTCTTCTTTTATACTTGAGCTCTACACGCATCGGTATGTCAGGAATCTTGACATCAGGCTATATGTATTCCTCACACCTGATTATGATAGAAGCTGTCGGAAACAGCTCCTTATAGAGTTGTTTTAGATATGGAGCACTTGTAAAACATAGACGCATCCATAAACAAGTTTGTTTCAGCAGCTAGGCAACCCCTTCATCCCTCACACACTATGGGGGCGGGGCTTTCACTTGACTATAGTAGTTGTAGAGTAAGACCTGTAAGTATTACAGTGTTGCTAAATTTACTGGGCTACGTGATAATGATAGCATAGCCCAGTGGGCCAGGTCTCTGGGCTAAGATTGTCATCTGGTTATTATTAGACATAATAATATTCCAAATATTTTACATCAGTAGTAATGAACCATGAGTCAACATGAGCAACTGATTAATAGATCAAAACCAACACTTTTCCAGTCATTTTAAAGTGATGGAGCGATTTCCTGAATTTCCAACATCAAATCTGTAAAGATTGAAGCTGATGAAAGTGTCCGTAGTTGATGTAGAAACTGTACTGAGAGAGTTTATTTTTTTAACGTTTTACAGGTCTGGGGCACTTGTTCTTTTTCAAATATGATCCGTCACTTTGAGACGCATATTCTTGCCGTACATGAACATTTTCTTACTTCCAGGCTCCACCATCACGCCAACAGACAAGCTTCTTCTTTCCTTCTACTTATGCATTTCACCTCATATCGCTGTTTTTCATGAAGCTGGATGCTTCTGAACGGTACTGCCAATCAAAACCGAACATCAGTGAGTTTCATGAAACTGCTTAGTTCTCCTAAAGAAGGGGCAAACATCAACAGATGTTAATTTGATTTAAAATACTCAGTTCTTCTGAAGGGGTTTCTTTTTTCTACTTTATCAAATTTTGGATTTGGGTCACAATTTATAAATTGGGTTAAAATATTGTATAAAGAGCCGAGGGCGGCAGTTATAACCAACGGAATGATTTCACCTTTTTTCGGTTTGTCACGTGGGACCCGACGGGTGTTCTCTCAGCCCTCTATTATTCATTATATTTATAGAAACGGTAGCTGTGAGTATTAGGTCAAATAGTGATATTAAAGGTATAAGAGCGGGCCAAGTTGAACACAAATTACTTCTTTATGCAGACGATATTCTAGCAACGATAACTAATCCACTTACATCCTTACCACATTTAATGGACACTCTAGAGTCCTACTCAAAAGTTTCTGGATATACAATTATGGTCCAAGTCTGAGGCTATGCCATTGTCGGGTCTGTGCTATTCACACATGGTGGAGAAATTTAAATTTAAATGGACACCTAAAGACATGAAATATTTGGGGATGAAATTATTTCAAGAGCTAGGTGAGCTGCCTTCACTAAACTTGAACCCAGTGTTGTCTAAAATCAAAACAAGTTTTGAAAAGTGGGAGGCATTAAAATTGACTTTGTGGGGCAAAATTAATATTATTAAAATGATTATAGCACCCCAGCTCAATTATATGCTCATGATGCTACCTATTTCTATTCCTCAGGACTTTTTTAAAAGGTATGAACATTTGGTCAAACATTTCTTGTGGGAGGGTAAAAGAGCAAGAATAAAAATGGAGAAATTGTATGCCCCCAGAGAGAAAGGTGGATTGGGACTTTTGGACCCAAAGCTCTATTGCCCATCATTTGAAATGGCAAAACTAGTTAAATACTGGGAGGAAGATAAAGAAAAACAAGAATGGTTAAATATTGAATTTGATATCTGTTCACCATTTGATCCAAAACACAAATTGTCTCAAAAATAAATACAACTAATCCAGTTATTATTCACTCTTGTGAGATTTGGTCAAAGGTGCATAAAATGTTGAAGCTTTCACACTATGTTCAGAAGTATGCGTCTCTTTGGAACAACCGGCTACATGTATTGGTAAAGTACCGGTGTTTTGGGGACAGTGGCACTCACGTGGTTTATGTAATATTGGAGATCTGTATAAAGATGGAAACTTTATGTCTTATGAGGATCTAACCCGTACTTACAAATTACAAGGTAAAGGACATTTTTGGAAATACCTCCAAATGAGACATTGTGACTTCTAAATTTAAGGAAGTTCCTGAGAATGATATTTTAGGTTATATGAAAATGCCACGTGATCGCCACACTGCTTCGGTGTTTTATAAACTGTTTAATCGTGGTTTAAGTGGGGAGTCTTTAGGCATTAAACTACTTTGGCAGCGGGACTTGGAAACAGAATACACAAATGAAAAATGGCTAAATATCTTATCAGACAGTGGTAAATATATGAAAGAGGCTAGAAGTAAGTTTATACAGTACAAGGTGACTGGTTAGAGGGTATGACTCTCACCCGGGAGTCTGGGGATCCAATCCCGCCCGGGCCTTCGTTTCTCCACCTTGCCACATATTGACGGATAAACTCAAGGATGTTGGTTGTTTTGAAAGAATTACCCCGACGCACACTGATGCGCATGGATGAGCCGACATTTTAATCGTTACGCACATCACAGAGGTAACTTGATTCCCATCAGAACATCAGAGCTTTATACTGGACACTGTGTTCAGCGCGGCTCGGAGCGCCCACGGTGGACAGTGGGCTGAAGATCTGTAGAGGGGTTCGCAGTGCAGAACCACGGTGTTGCGATGATTTCCTCCCACTGAAGCAGTCTGGAAACCCGGTCTCTCTGAGGGATGTGTCACTTGGAAAAATGTTCTTTTTATGAAATTATGAAACTTTGGCTGAACAGCGCTTGTTCCCGTCTCTAATATGATGACGCATCCAGTCTGAGGCAGAATAGCAGCTCAGAAAGCTCCTGTAGAGACATTTGATCACGCACAAAGTTTATGTGGAGCAGAAGCAGTCGGGCCACGGCAGGTGACATGTTCCTACATGAAGTCAAACTGTTTAATTGTAACATTAATATGTTACTGGACACACTGGTCTGGTTGGTTAGACCAGTGTTTGAAGTGGAAAACACACACACACACACACACACACACCAATTAAAATAATGCTGATAGCGTGGACTAGAAGACAGGTGATGGGTTACGTATTTAAATGATGATCAGGCTGATGTAAAATGTAATCTCCATCCACATCCAGACACAATTATCCTCTATTCTTTCTCTAGTTGCTCTGCTCTTGCCTGGGCTGATGTAGCTGACGGTGCGCGCGGCGCGCCTAACTAGCGGCTGATGCACATTTTATGCATTTGGAGAGGTGGGCTGGATGCTTTGCTTTTACTGGAAGATGGTCCACTTAACGCACGGGTGTAGACTACATATTAATGACAAATGAATGAAAATTAAATTGTGAGTTTTTACTTCATATTTTAGAAATAAAAATGACGGGGGAACACATTTATGACGTCTTTTTAAACTAAATTTTCTAGCGCCACCTGCCTGCTTCACTAAGTCACTGCTTATTAAGGTCCGTCCAAAATTACCGTGGCCCACCCAAAAATGAAAACCTGGCGCCGCCCCTATTATAAACCTCTGCAAATGGTTGTTCTTCACTTTATCAAACTCAGACTTTGTACAGCTAATGTCAAGATGTAAAATTATTCAGGCGAGCTCTTCCGTCCCTCCCTCTCCTGCTCTCCTGGAAACCCGACATCGGCTGTCAGAAGAGGGAGGTGAAGAAGGAGATGAGGCAAACAGAGTGAGTGCGACATAGAGAAACCAGACTGGTGTGGAGGTGAGCAAAACAGGAGGAAAAGTGTGGGTGTTGAATCCCCCCATCCCCCACGGGTGCGACGCCCATGCGAGCGACCGGTACCGGCTGCTGTCACCTGGTTGTGAGCAGCTCTCTGCTGTCTGAGGGTAGGCCCCGCCCACAACGCCGCGGCTGCTGTGGCTCCCAGTGTTTTCTTTACTGTGGGAAATGGGTAATAATGGCTCTTTGATGGGAACAGGTTGCCGACCCCTGGATAAGATCTGAGCTGGTAAAACAAAAATCCTCATCAGCAGGCTTTTTTGAAAGTGGGGGGGGGACACAGCTGCCAATCACAAATTTTGCCGGGGACATGTCCCCGGCGTCCCCGGTTAAAATGACGCCTATGGTGATGGTAAGACTTCATCTTTACTTTTCATCTGCAATACAAGAAGAAGAAGAGATTTCATCATAAATATGTAGTAAACACCATTACATGTGTTAATAAAAAAAAACACTCAAATCTAACACTTTAGTTTCTGGACCTACTGAATCTGCCAATCGTGTTGCAGCCCAAAGAGCTCATTGAGCCTATTCTATCCATCCGTTGCCCAAAGCAGCCAGAAGATCTCCTGGTGGAGTCATTTCGGAGGCTCTTTAGGTTCTTTGCTGAGAAAAATTCTCTGATTTCTGCCTCATCCAGCCCATTGGGTGGCTGTTTATCATCTTCTGTATCACCCATCACATCATCCAGCATACTACTCAACTCAACTCAACTTTATTTGTAAATCGCGCCTTACAGGCAAAAAGATGCCACCAAGGCACCACAAGTAAAAAACATAAAACATTAAGTCCAGAAAATAAAAACATTGTATCACAAGATACAGATAAAAATACATTGAGTGCACAAATCGCTATAAGTAAAATAATAAAAAACTAGTTAGAAAGGTTAAAAGATAGATCATAAAAGTAGGTTTTTAGCCTTGCCTTAAACCGCAACAGAGGTGGAGGCCCTTATGCTGAGAGGAAGCTCGTTCCAAAGCTTAGGACCTGCCACAGCAAAGGCCCTATCACCACGTGTCTTTAGGCGCGTTCTTGGGACCGAGAGGAGCATGAGGTTCTCCGAGCGGAGTGACCGTGCAGAGGTGTCCGGTTGAAGCACTGACACCAAGTAAGGAGCGGTCAAACCATTCAACGTTTTAAAAACCAAATAAGAGTATTTAAAAATGAGTCCTTACATCCTTACTATTGAAAACCGATCACGTGGGATTACTAGTGACTTGTCTAGCCTAACTGAAAGAAAATTGTATTTAATTTTTTTTTTATTAATTTTGTTTAATTATATTTATAATTTAATCATCATACCTTATCTTGTGTCTGATTTTGTGAAAAAGCTTGATAAAGTGTGTTTTGCAGTCGGGTAAGTAACCTCCTCAATAGAAATGAATGCACTCGGTGCGAATGGAGACCCATCTAAAATGGCGGCCGGCCACTACGGCAGCTCCAGTCCAAGGTGCGTCTGTGGTAGGACAGTCTGCACTTTAGCGACGGGTTGCTGCTAAATGAAATAGCCAATCGTAGTAGAGCCCTTCTAGCCAATCAGAGGCGAGAAAGGCGGGTTCTTCCTCGGAAATCATACTATTCCAAATAACGCGTCCGGCTACGGTTAACACGCCATCTTGTTGTCTTCACCCAGGCGCTCACGTTGACGGTGCCCGGAAGTGTTTATTTGTTGGGCAGAAACGTTTCAGGTAGTCTGAACCAGTGGGAGTTTAACATTTAGTTGAGAGTGTTCGGGTTCTGTTTGGGAACACTACCACGGGTGACCGACAGTAGTGCGTCACCGACCTGAGGTGGAAATTTGAAACCATGCATGCTAATTTAGGCTAAGTGTGTAGCTAAGTGGACTACAACCTGTCCACCCCTCTTGAACACACGCAGACCGCTTCAGTCTGATGTTCGTGTCTCTGGTGTAAGGATATTGTGTTGGTCCCCGTGACGTAGGTCGGTCACCGCGAGCTGACGTTTGCTTTGATCTGATAACACATGACCGGGGGCTCTCCGTTGACCTTGTGTCGGAACCGAACCCAGACCGAACCGGGACCGACTGTCCTCGTTGGTAAGTTTCTACGTTTACTCTGGTGTGCTGTATGTGGATTATGGTAAATGTTCTGTGAGTGTTGCTGAATGAAGTCCGGGCGACAGGATGCTAGCTGGTTTAGCCCAAGGGGATACCCTCATAGATATGTATATAAACATAAATGTGTATATATGTGCAGTGTTGGGAAAGTTACTTTTAAAAAGTAATTAGTTATAGTTACTAATTACTTTGTAAAAAAGTAACTTAGTTACTGAGTTACAAGATTATAAAAGTAACTAATTACCAAGAAAAATAACTATGTAGTTATTTTTTCATTAAAGAATGCAAGAAAAATGGGTTAGTTGAACTTGCTTAATTTACTATAAATGACTACAGTAGTGAAATATAAATGACTAATGACTGGAACATAGTAAAATGTAGGGCTGCTCGATTATGGCCAAAATAATAATCATGATTATGGTGACTGAAATTGAGATCACGATTATTTAGGACGATTTTTCTATTTATTCTGATTTTATTTGTTTTTATTCAGTCATAAAATAGCTCAGGGCACAATCAGAACAAAAATAAATAAGAAACAAGATGATCACTAAAATAACTCCTGATTCCCAGTATAAAAAGACCAATATACTTATAGCTCCTAGTCTATGACCCAAGGGCTATAGACCTTGGTTTAACTCATTTAAGTCTAACCAGTACAGACCCAAATACCAATATCTTGCAAATACTGACAGTAAGAATTATACAGTGGCATTTATAACAAATAAATGCTAATAAATTGATGTTCACAAAATGCTGCATAGCATTTATTGAGTCCTGTCAAGGTGCTGTAGGAGAGTGCACTAGCACCGTGTCCTCAGAGAGATTAGTTATTAGTTATCAGCGTGAGGAACTTATTTCTACCTTATTTATAAACTATTTATTTACAAGTCGTCCATCAGTTAATGTAATAATTGTCCCAACCACAGCTGCACCCCCCACCCCCCAACCCAGTCTCACAGCAATCAGGGCAAGCTGCACGTGTGTTTAGCGTGCCGCACGCGCACATTTAGCCGTTTTTAGCGGCTCAGGAGTCCGCAGGTGCGGTGTGTGTGTCACTCACCCTGGTTAATCCAACAGTGAGCCATATAACTGTTTCTTTAGCGACCGACACATCACTACATCATTCCCTTTCCTAATGTCCTGAAGAACGGTCCGGAGTGTTTAGCTAACCTGCAGGAAACGTCGACGACAGTTATCCAGAAAGTAGCTAAGGGTTACCAGAGATGTTTCTGAGATGTTCGCTAGGTACTTTTAGGATTTAAAAAGTCAAGAAGGGGGTCTGAAAAGCTGTTGGAAATAGCGTCAAAGTCGCTAAGTTGGCAACACTGTGGGAGGAGCGCTTCATTTGCAACTCAGGGCAGCGCAAGTGGGAGGAGCAAATAATCGGCTTGTTTAGTTTTTTATAATCGTTCAAAACTCAGATCGTAATCGTGATTAAAATTCGATTAATTGAGCAGCCCTAGTAAAATGTATGTCTAAATGTTTTTTATAAACCTGAATAATTTAAATAAATAAGCACTTAACAGGAGGGACTACTAACAGGAGCATTACACTTATCTAGACTATTAAAAGGTCACTGTGATATTTAACAAGACCTCAATCAGCTAAAATTTAAAATTGCAAATAGAAACACCTGTAAAGGTTCCCGAGCCTTTAAATGGTCTCTCAGTCTAGTTAAATTACAGAAATGAATGTAATTTTTCCAGCTTCACATAATTGTCTGTTATTAGTGGCATTTCTGTTGCTGGTAATCTAGTAACGGTTAAATAAATAAATAAAATCCTTTAAAGTGACACTAGAAGAGGCACAAGCCTGATGGAGGACTCACATTTACTAACGTGGGTCAGACCCAACCACAGAAGAGCTGAAGCTGGGTGGTGAACACACACAGGTAGTTCTGATAACACCTGAGCTCCATGACGTCTGAGACTGATGCATCAGTGTTACAGCGGGACTAAAGACATGATCAGGAACAGGTTACAGCTGGATGATCTAGGAAGGTAGAAGATCAGGACGTCTGAGCGGTGAACAGGTGAGCGGACCTTCAGGACGTCCTGCTGTCACGCTAAGAAGGCCACGGCTGCAGAGCCACACCTGCAGCCGTAGACTATTCATCATGTCTACCCAAGCCCTCACAATGCGGCTCAAAAATTGAGGCCAACCCGGAAGTACCAAAAATTGCAGTTCCACCCTCATCCACTAGGGGCTGGTGTCAGAAGCGAGCAAATCCTCATTGACTCCCATGTTAAAAATACCAATTTCACAGCAGAAATAAACATGTTTACAGCCTGGTACCAGAACACGTTCTAGGTTTAATAGATCTTGTTTATATTCACAACAACTCTGAGGGGCGTGACGTTTTTTCTAACTCTTCTGTTTAAGTGGAATTAAAGGCTTAAAATTCTGAATAATTAATGAGCATCAGAGGCACTTCCCAGCCTAGGCCTCACACTAATCGGTCTCTGTCAGACACCAGACCTGCAGGTCAACCACCCCTCTAGGGGAAGCTCTAGCTGAAGTAGAATCAAAAGGATGGATAAAAAGAACAAGGACGAACATTTCCCTTAAATTAGGGATGCACATTTACCAACGTTTCTTTAACCGGCTATCGACGCCCCATAACGATTAATAGCTGGTTAATCAAAACTATCCACCCCCCAGTGCACACAGACATTTGCCCCGCCCTATAAATAATAATGCTTCTTTAGTCCACTTTATAAAAGTAATTCTGACACAGGGCTGCACAGTGGTGCAGTGGTTAGAGCTGTTGTCTTGCAGCAGGAAGGTCCTGGGTTCGCTTCCCAGCCTGGGATCTTTCTGCATGTTAGCATGTTCTCCCTGTGCATGCATGGGTTCTCTCCGGGTTCTCCGGCTTCCTCCCACAGTCCAAAAACATGACTGTTAGGTTGATTGGTCTGTCTAAATTGTCCTTAGGTGTGTGTGTGTGTGTGTGTGTGTGCGTGTGTGTGTGTGTGCGTGTGTGTGTGTGTGTGTGCGTGTGTGTGTGTGTGTCTGTGTTGCCCTGCGATGGACTGGCTCTCTGTCCAGGGTGTACCCCGCCTGATTGCCCGTTGACCGCTGGAGATAGGCACCAGCCCCCCCCCCCCCAACCCTCCGTGGACGGAGCGGGTTCGGAAGTTGGACGAATTCTGACGCCCACACTCGTTACGTTTGTGAACAAGAAGTAAAGAGGGTGGGAAGCCCTAAATAACTAAGAACGCTGCCTTGTGGCTAACCGCTTCGTGTTTGAGCACATTTGTTTGGTCATGTGACGAGCTCATTTCTTCTTCTGCGGTTGCCCAGTAAATATTTTGATAGCGGCACTCTTGCGCCCTTTAGTGGCTCAAAATATATTGCACTCAAAAGCAGCAGAAGTCTTTGAATCTGTTAACCAGGCAAAACTATTTTACCCGGTTACAACATTAATGGCAGCTAACCGGTTAACTACGTACACCCCTACCTTACAGGAATAAACTTCTGAAGGAGGACAGAGTAGCTTCAGTAACTGTCTACAGCTGACGTCGTAGATCCCTACGACCTCAAAGGAAACAAACACAGCTCAGACGTCTCATTACTGCTGAAAATGTATAACGTGAGTAAGCATAGTACTACTTGAGCGTAAGTAGTAAAGCGAGAGTTCAGACACTCCCGTAGGCTTCAGTAGAAAGAATGGAAGTGATGTCAGCCATGGAGCTTCAGATAGTTCCAAACACCAACAGTTCCACCAATGAACGCCGTTTATTCTCCGTGTTTCAGAGCTTTTTGCCCGTAACTTTTCCGAAAAGCATTAAAGTCGGAAAGGGGGGAGGGGGATCAGTAAAGCAATAAAGACATCCAAATGGTCCAATAAGTTTCACTTTCCTTTATTTAGGAAGTACACTGATTAAATAATTGTTTATATTGTGAATATACTTACAAGTAGCGGCGTTGCTCTTATTTCAAGTTGTTTATTCCCTCAACGTGCTGCTGTGAGCAGTGTTCGGTGACGGAGCTGGTAGGCGGAGCCTTCGGAAAGGCAGGGTAACTTTTCTCTGCATAACACCTGTAGCTCCAGCACGCAGCTCTGTGCTGCAGAACTAGAAACCCCGATGTTTTGCAGCCTGTTGGAAATTTGTCTTTTATTGGCGTAACTTTCTCTGTCGGCTGGCTCCATGTTGTCTGACTTCTCTGTGACTGTTGGAGGAAACTGGAGACGGTGATGTGCTTTGTTGATGCCTGAAGGGAAAAGCTGACAGTCAAAGCAGCCAATCACAGAGCATGTTGAACGTCCAGTATGTACACATTACAAGTGTCTGTAGCTCCGTCTCTGCTGTCTGGCTAAAATACCACCGAGCTGCAGGTACCAGCTCTCCAGAGGAAACACGTTAGCTCTGTTAGCAGGCTTGCTAACAACACTTGGTGTCTGAGTCCGTGCCTGCTGTAAACTGTGTAACGTGTTGTTTTCATACAAGACACAATTATTGATGTAGAGGGACTTAATGAAATCAAAACTAAGCCATTTATCTCTACCTCAGGATTAATTAAAAAAGTCGTGTTTGTTGATTTAAAAGGTTAAATCCGGTTTATTTCTCCCAATTCTGATCCTTTCAAAAACACGTCATTGGGCTCGATTTCTGATCACGTGTTTGGATCGGAGCCAACAGGGGTTGGGCTAACGCTAACCCTAACCCATCCCTACTGGAAGCAAGGTTAAACTTCATTTATACTTCTCCGTCTACAGTCAGGTCCCTTCTGGAAAGTTGGTCCACGGTCAGGGAGCTCTGAAGGTGTGATTCACCTGAAAGATAAAATATATAAAAGTTAGTTTGTTTACCAAATTAATAATTCTGTTATATCAAACCCAGTAGGCTAGGATGTAACACGGATTATGCTGTAACCAATGTTAGTTTCTTGATCGTTTAGTCATCCATCCATTGGAAGGGTTGGGCATCGTTTGATTTTGAACGATTCCAATTCCTCATTTCGAATCCGGTTTCTATCGATTCCCGATTCTTTGAAGACATGACATGTTTTACATGAGCCAGCTAGCCACAGGTCCTACTGGATGAACTAATCATAACTTCAACATGAATTTTAACTCTATGAACAACAACATCACCTTCATTTAGACTAAAACATGTTTTGGAGACAAAAGAAGACGACTTGCAGCACAACCAGTGTGTTTGTTTCTGACCACAACCAAAGTGTGGAAGCAGCCTCTGGGATGAGAGGCTAAATGTCTCCAACATATCCAGAAACGTCCAGCTGTTTTCAGCTAAAACTCTCAGGATGATCATGTCCAGGATGACTGAGAACTACACCTCCATGCTGCAGCAGCTTCAGTCACAACAGGAAGTGGAGCTTAACCGTAGCTGCTGTCAGTAACAAGCTAACAGGTTTAAACATTAAAACTCAACAGAAACAGTTCATAAAGGAAATTAAAATGTTAGTTATTATTATTATTATTCTACTTATTTATGGTGGCAGAAGCTGGTGTGGTCCACCACAGAGAAGCTGCTCTAGCATGATGACTTTAATTATTCTACAGGTTACTGTTCAGCCTGCTGACGCTCACACACACACACACACACACACACACATACACACACACACACACACACACACACACACACACACACACACACGAGTGTTGGTGACTGCTGACGCTCCGTGTGTGTTGTTATTTCTGCAGTGAGACAAACTCACCTCACACCGTCCAGAGTTTGTTCTTTAAAGCTTCTATTAAATCCACCGTGTTGACGTATTTAACACGTTTCCTCTACGCTGCAGGAGTTAACGTTCATGTTACGGAGTAAAAGTTCGGCAGACGCGTTTGTTTATATCTGGGTGGGGGGAGGGGGCGGTGCTGCACACACACAGCTGGTGTGATCAGCTCTGAAAAGCGTTGATCACAATTTGCAGATCACGTTAATTTTTCACGGAACTTGGCCGCAAATTCCTCTTCCGTTGGCGTTCTAGGAATCAAAATAAAAACTTTGAGCGATTCTGGGAAAAATGAACTGTTGGAACCGGTTCCAATCGATGCGCGATGCCCAACCCTACATCACTGTGATGCATCAAATAGACCACACCCCCACCCTAAGTTCAGAATACCTCCAAACACTGAGGGGTTTCAGCTCCTGTGAGTTTCAACACTGGAGCTCCGTCTGGAACCTTGTGAGGACCCCTGTCTTGTCCATGAGATCTGAGTGCCTAGTAGGGCTGTCGCGGTTGAGGAATTCCCCCTGCGGCGAGTCAGGGCAGCTCAGTATTGCGTTATTATTGCACCCCGTTTTTATTTATGTACTTAGCAAATTCGTTTGTTAATTACTAAACTCATGGCAATATTTCCTTTGAAACATTGTGCTTACATATTTAAAGCATGTTAGAAAACTACATTAACACTATTGAATGCAGATCGAAGGGCAGTAACGGCATTCTCTGAACTTAAAAACAACATTCAGGAGGTTTAACTTTGAAATGCAAATTTGGCTGCAACATCTAACAGAAATAAAAAAGAGCCCGTTTTGTTTTGTGGTTTAAAATAAAGTACACAAAATGAGATGTCCCAGGCACTGACATTTCACTTTCACACACAAGAATAACTGATTTATAACTCGGTCACGACCTTGTTACGCCCAAGGAAAACCAGCATGTTAACCTTATGCGGTTTGAGAGAGCATCTGAGAGGGGTGACAACATTTCCAGCGACACTAAAAACCCTCTCGGATGGTGCGCTTGTTGCACAAATACACACGTACTTGCGTGCGACTTTGGAGAGCAATGGAAATCTCTCATGGCTGTTGTGCCACCATGTCAGAGGGTTTTCATTAGGGTCAGTGGGTTCCTCCGTCTCTG